TCTTCCCATCTTCATGGGAATCTTACACTATCAACTCTACCTTTTTCGTCTTATATATTTAACCTCATCCTCGCCACTAGGTTTTTCCTACATACTTTCATATACTCTCAGACAGTCCGATTAAAACACCTGAAACTTTTACTTGACCCTCACATCCCTCTGCAGCTATTAATTTATCTTTCTTTTTCCCTTCTTTACCATTTCTCAAGAGTTGTCTATCTTCCCTGCTTGTATTTTTTCTCCCCCTCCAATCACTCAACTCACTCCAGTTTGATTTACAACCATCTCCCTCTACCAAATCAGCTTCACCTGTCACCAATCACCTCCACGTAACTAAATCCACCACTGTTTTCATTCCTTCTTTGATATGTCTTTTATTTTTATTTTTGCAGAGATGGGGTCTTGCTCTGTCACCTAGGCTGGAGTGAAGTGGCATGATCATAGCTCGCTGCAAGGTTGAACTCCTGGGCTCAACAGATCCTCCTGCCTCAGCCTCCTGAGTAACTGGGACTACCGTACTGCCACCATAGCTGGTTAATGTATGTATGTATGTATGTATGTATGTATGTATGTGTGTGTGTGTGTGTGTGTGTGTGTGTATATATATAGAGAGACAGGGTCTTGCTATGTTGCCTAGGCTAGTCTCAAACTCCTAGGCTCAAGCAATCCTCCTGCCTAGGCCTCCCAAAGTGCTCATTCCTCATATTTGACCTTTAAGTACCTTTGGACGCTGTTCACCACTCCCTCCTTCTTGAAATCTTCTCCTCCCCTGGCTTCCCTTAGACCACACTCTCCTAGTTTTCCTCCTACACTTCTACCTGCTTTTTCTCCGCCTCTTTTGCCAGCTCCTTCTCTACCAGCCATTATATTAGTCCTCGAGGCTGATATATAGCTAGGTGAATATAAATGACCATATTTTTCTCTTAATTTATTGAAAATACCTGTCACTACATAGAGCAAGACAATAACATTGTCTTGTGAGGTTTATAATATATGTAAATGTAATACTTATCACAACTATAACACAAAGAACAGCGGAGGGGAGGTTAATGGACCCATGTAGTTTGAAGGTTCTACATTTTTCATGAAGTGGTCCAATATTAACCCTAAGTAGATTGAGAAGTTAAGGATGTATATTGTCATCTCTGGGAAACCATTAAAAAACAATACAGAGAGATATAGCTAAAAAAGCAATAGCCAAATTAAAATGGAGTTTGACAATACTCAAATAATCCAAAAGAAGGCCAGAAAGAGGGAATATAAGCACCAATAACAGAGAGGACCGATTGAAAACAAATAATAAAATGGTACACTTAAATGTATTGATATCCATAATTATATTAAATACTCATTTTAATGATGTCCAATTTATCAATCTTTGCCTTTATGAATCAGTCTATTTTTTGTACTTCTCTAAGCGGTATAGCTGAGGCTCATATTCAGGACTAACTCCAAAGCCCAATTTTACAGATAATACACTGTGCTGCTTCCCAGCATCTATGTTTCAGGAGATCTGAGCTCTTAGTCTTGGGTAGAGAGGACTGCACAGGAAGTCTGGAAAAGAGAAAACCCTAGGCTTCCTCATAAGAAAAGAAATGGAGAGAATCCTGAAGAGCCTAAAGAATCCAATGACACAAGACTGGTCCTGTGGTTGGGATGACTTATTGCTCCACTGCCCAGGGAGGGGGTGATATGAAGGTCTATATCCAGAAAACGGATGTTGATAGTGTGGATTTTCTCTCTAGGAGGATTCAAGAGAACAAGACTAGACAAAGCCACCATTAGCCCTATGGCAATGCCAGCATTATTGTAGTCATCGCTTCTGGAGACACCAGACGTCTGGCTTAGCTCAAGTTAAATGAGGACATTGAAATTTTTTCAGAACACTGATTATCCACTGATTGATTTTTGCTCTGAATCCAATGTAATCAATGAACCACATGTATATTGAGATTCCCTATAACTTCTTGGCCTCTTTCCTCCATTCTCACACTACCTCTTGCTACACCCTGTACCATCTACCCCTAAGTTCCATTCTGTTAAACTAATGAACAATTATCCTAGGACTTCCGATTTCTCTTCTCACCCTAAATCCTTCAGTGTCTCTGGAGCTTGTTTCCATGGGAACGACTAGAATCCAGTTCTGTGACTTTTTTATTTGATTTCCTTACCTGTAATTTATCCTGTAACACACTGAAATATGACTTTTACCCACCACCAGCCACCCCAAACACACTTTCACAGTGGAACTGATCTTTCCAAGGTCATCAAAGATCTTCATGTTGCTAAACACAGTGGCAGACTTTTGGTCTTTACATCTCAGCAGTATTTAACATTGTTGATCATTTTCTTCTTTCTCGAGAAATTCCTTTTCTTCAGCTTCCTTTATACTCATCCTCCTGGCTTTCCTCCTACGCCTCTGGCTGTACCTTCCCAACCTCCTTTAGAGGCTCTCCATCTGTCAGTTAGGTGTTGGTGTTCATTTGGGCTCTGGTCTTACATTCCCTGCTTTTGTCAGTGTATGCAATTTTCTTTTATTTATTTATTTATTTATTTATTTATTTATTTATTTATTTATTTTTTTCTTTTTCTGACCAAGGAAGAAGTCTAAGTGTATGCAATTTTCCATCATGGTTACAATTGCCCACATTAGCTGCTAATACCAGCTGTATGTTGGTGCCTTCTACATTGCTATCTCCAACCTAAATCTCTCCTCTAAGCATGAGACAAGTCCATTGAAATGTCTCCTGGCCATGTCCACTGGAATGCCCCCCAAATAGCTCACATTCATCAAAATTAAGTCGCCATCTTCTCACCTATTATCTCAAATTTGTTCCTTCTCCTCTTGTCTGTCTCAGTGAGTTGTACCACCAAATATCCAATTGCAATGGTCTTCCTTGATTCTTTTGTCTCCCTTATATATGCCCCCATTCAATAACCACCAAACTCTCTTAAATATAACTCTCTTTCTGTCTCTCACATCTGGTTATTTCTGTTCATCTGCAATGCCAACACCATAGTCCAAGCCACCATCATCAGTTGCATGAATTGTCACAAAACCTTCATAGCTTGTCTCCTTACTTCTAGTCTCACTCCCACTTAAATCCATTCTTCACATTGCTGCCAGACTTATCTTGGTAATATTTAGAGCATTAAGCCTTTCAGGGCTTGCCCATTGCATTAAGAGAAATTTAAAACTCTTTACAGCAGAATCCAGACTCTTAGACTCAGGAGAACAGTCTGTAATTATCTGGGTTTAAACCTTGGATCTGCCAATCACTAGGTAGGTGATCTTGGACTATTGGGTCAAACTTACTGAGCCTCTGTTTCCTTATCTGTAAAATGAGGATGATAATAAAAATAATAGGAAGAGCCTGGCATGGTGGCTCATGCCTATAATCCTAGCACTCTGGGAAGCCAAGGTAGGGGGATTGCTTGAGCTCAGGAGTTTGAGACCAGCCTGAGCCAGAGAGAGACCCTGTCTCTACAAAAAACAAAAATGAAAAATTAGCCGGGCATGGTGGTACACACCTGTAGTCCCAGCTGCTCTGGAGGCTGAGGCAGGAGGATCGCTTGAGCCCAGGAGCTTAGGCTTGCAATGAGTTATGATGTCTGGAAAAAAAAAAAAAAAAAAAGGAAGGAGAAGAAGAAGAGGAGGAGGATATGCCTCATATTGTGTTGTGAAGGTTTAAAAAATTTGCACACGAACATAGCACTCAGAATGCTTTCTGTCTCATAATTAAATAAATGACTGTTATCTTTGTTGTTGTTATTGCTATTATTCCACAAGTACTTTTTGAATTTTTGCTATGTGACAGCAACAGTGGTAGATAATGGCAATGCTATTTTCAACAAAATAAACAAGGTTTCAGTTCTCAGGGGAACTGATTTACAATCTAGCCACATTTCTCACCGCTCACAAACTTACACTTGAAATTGTACTATTGTAGTCCCATTATATGCTGTTTTGCTGGTGCTGTTTTTCCTAGGCTCTAGGCATTTTCCTGTGCTCTTTCTGTCTCAGAAAACGTTCTCTCCCAGCCCTTCCTCACCTGTGTAACTCCTGATTCTTCAGATCTCAGTTGAAATGTCCCTTCCAAGATTTCTGTAACTGGATTCGTTTTCCCTTATTTATTAGATCTCCCCCCATCTCTGCCTGTTTGTAGTTTACTTGTTCACATACGTATAGTCCAATCACTCTAAACACCAAAAGGTGAGGTAGTCTGTAGGTCCTGTTCATCACTGTTTCCCCAATGTCAAACACAGAGTCTGACATGTGTAGGCATTAAGTCATTATTTGTGGAAGGAAGTAAAGGAATTAATAGAGGCCACAAGGATGCTTTTGCCATCATGACATTTTTTAGGCACATAGAGGGAGGGTACTTACCAGTAAACTGATGGTCGCCTTTGTGTTTTGCATTCTCCAAGCTAAAATGTCTTCAACATCTCAACTCGTCATCTGGAACATTTGTACACTTGAAAGGCAGAGAATGGGTAATCTGTGCGGAAGATATCTAGCAGCTATTACTTGAACTTGTAATTGTGCATGCTTACTGTCATTCTGCTTCGTAATAATGGAAAGGTTATTTTGAATAAAGACTCACAAGAGTAATTAATGTTAGTCAAATTGTTAAAAACACAGCTATCATATAGCCTGAGATATTGGCATCCTACCCTAAAGTAGACCCCTAGCTATACTCTATCTTGTTGAAGAAGTGTTAGCATGGCTCTCTCCTAGGAATAATTAGTGTCACAGCTCCACACACCATTGTAAGAGAGAGCAATAGACCGTGCTTTCTCATAAGACTTTCAGAAGTGATTAGAAACATTAGTGAGCTGTCTGACCAAAAAAGTCACTTGGCCATAGAAAGAAGCAAACGAAGGCCAGCAGTGACAAGGCTGCCAAAAGTTGACAAACATTCTCAGCCAAGTTCTGGCATTCATCACATTTCATAGCTGCTAAGAAACTTCAATGTTTTGAAAGATGTACTCACATATGGCAAGCACTTCTGACTGTAGCATAGTCCTGGACAGCATTATAATTGAATCATGTTATGGTTCCCATAACCCCTTTCTTCAGGAAAAATCTTTCTAGGAAGATCAAGATTTAAAATAGTGACAAATAGAGCTTCTCTCCGTAGCTTCCTTCCTATCCCCTCACTCCAATGGCCCCTGAGGGTAGAATAGAAAGATTACTGCACTGGCAATCAGAAAGCAGACTCAGAATCTCAGGGTAGAAATGCAGCATACGATAATTCAGTTCAACTATCCAACCTGTGCTTGAATTCTCTTCTACAACAAGAACCCTCCAGCCTCTTTTCCTCACAACCTTTATGTTCTTGGACAAATCATTTCCCCTCTGTAGACTTTAGTTTCTTCATCTGTAAGAAGAGGTTGGAGTACACTTCGAGATCTTTTCGCACCATAAAAATATATGATTGAACAATACTCAGAATACACAGGAATCCTGACCCAGAACACAGACCATGAAGTCTGTTAAGTTCTGTAGTCTATACAACCTATAGTGCAGAGAAATTTGATCTGAGGAATCCTACAGGACTATAGGTAGTTTCAGGGATTCTAACTCCACTTTGAATTTTCATGCAAAACTGGAGCATTCTTCTAGTAATGGAACCCACAGGTTGGTTAGTTCGTTGATTTGGCTTGGGTTGTTATTTTACTTTACATTCATTTATTGCAACATTTGATATTTAAAAGATAGAGACCAGAGTTTTCTTATAAGATTGTTTTTTTGGAGTGATAGTTTTCCTATCCCAATTTTGCCTGTTCTAGAGCACTCTGGGTATTGAATTTGCAATATGTGTTCTTTGTCTTTTTTTTCATTTTTCAAAGCCTAATCTTCTCTGGCTCTTCCTAACAAAAGCTATGAGTGTTCAGTATGCAGACATCTAAATGGTACATAAGAGGTCCTAGTACAATATCTTTCAAAGTTTTTTCATTATATAAGGATTTTTTTTTACTGGGTATGGTGGCTTGTGCTATAATCCCAGCTATTCTGGAGGCTGAGGCAGGAGGATCACTTGAGGCCAAGAGTTTGAGACCAGCCTGGGCAACACAGTAAGACCCTGTCTTAAAAAAAAAAAAAAAAGAAAATTACCAGCTATGGTGGTGCATGCCTGCAGTCCCAGCAACATGAGAGGCTGAGGTGGGAGGCTCTCTTGAGGGAGGGTGTTCAAAGTTGTAGTGAGCTATGATGGCACCACTACACTCCAGCATGGGCAACAGAGAGAGATCCTGTCTCTTAAAAAAAAAATATATATATATATATAATATTTTTCAATTTGTTATTTAAAATGACCAGCGCAACTTTTATTGATGAAAAGTACTGGCACAAAATGCCACTAAGCAGAATACTTGCGATTGCTTTTCTAATGAGCCTGCCATTTTAATAAGGCAGAGGGGAACCTGAACGATGACTTTGCTTCTACTCTTTTCTCCCATTTTCAGAATTCTTGTGAGAATACCCATATCTGAAATGTGGAATCAAAATTTGCCTGAAACTCCTTTTAATGTTTTTTTTTGTTTCCTTTTATTTCATCATATTATGGAGGTACAAATATTGTTAGGGTTACAAATATTGCCCCTGCCCCTCCCTCCCCCCGAAATGTCCAATCCCCTGGTGGTGTGCGTCACACACGTTATGGAAACATACACCCCTCTCCTCCTCCCCACTCCTGCCTGCCCACCATCTGCTAAAAAGGTTTTTTTTTTTTTTTTTAACATTTTGGTTACATTGTATATCTTTGCCTCTCCCTAAGAAGGGTTAGAGTTATGCCCTCCCCCTCCAAAATGCTCATCCCATCCCTAAGATTGGGTCCCCTTCCCCCACCGAATCTCTGGTGGGTATTGCCACCATTTGAAAACGGAAGTTTAAATCAGTCAGTACCAATTTGATGGTGAGTACATGTGGAGCCCATTTTCTATGTCTTGTGTTGCCTTGCTTTGGATAACAGGCTTAAGCTTAATCCAGGATAGCATAAACGGTGCTAGCTCACTGTCATTTCTTAGGATTGAGTAATATTCCGTTGTGAGCATATACCACATTTTAATTATCCACTCATGAATTGAAGGGCACTTGGGTTGTTTCCATGATCGTGCAATAGTGAATTGTGCTGCTATAAACATTCGTGTGCAGGTGTCTTTATAATAGAATGTCTTATGCTTTTTTGGGTAGGTGCCTAACAATGCTATTGCAGGGTCAAATGGTATTTCTATTTCTAGCTGAAACTCCTTTTAGTATATTTATTTATTATACCAAAAATTTTGAAATCACTGATAGGCACTGTAGGATTGAACAAGCGAGTACATGTGTTGATGCTGTAGGGAGTCAGGTCTCCCACTGCGGAAGAAGGGAAACGCAAATAAGAAATGGGGGGAGACAAGGTTGGGATTGGGGATACCAATATGATACTCCAGCAATAATACTGCTTAACAATGAGCAGATTTAGTATCTAGATCTTGGTTTCTATTTTTTTTTTTTTTTTGAGAAGAGTCTCACTCTGTTGGCCCAGGCTAGAGTGCCATGGCGTCAGCCTAGCTCACAGCAACCTCAAACTCCTGGGCTCAAGCAATCCTCCTGCCTCAGCCTCCCCAGTAGCTGGGACTACAGCATGCACCACCATGCCAGGCTAATTTTCTATATTATATTAGTTGGCCAATTAATTTCTTTCTATTTATAGTAGAGACGGGGGTCTCACTCTTGCTCAGGCTGGTTTTGAACTCCTGACCTTGAGCGATCCACCCGCCTCGGCCTCCCAGAATGCTAGGATTATAGGCGTGAGCCACCTCGCCCGGCCCAGATCTTGGTTTCTAAATACCATTCCCCATAAAAGAAACTATGACTCCATGGAGAAATGGCTGATGCTAGGGCTAGGGAAAGAAAGGTAGGAGATGAGCCTGGAGTATCTTGTCTTATCAGAAAGAAAAACGAAGGGCAACAGGAGAGAGAGGGAGGGAGGGAAACAGAAAGAGGAAGAGAGAGAGAAGTAGAGAGAGGAAGACAGAGAGAGACAGAAAGGGAAACAGATTAAAATGTCAACCAATAAAAATGGAGGAATTTGTAGATTTAGAAAGACACCATTTGTAACCATCATTGTAAAGATTGGTTCAGGCAAGCATCATCAATTGACATGAAATGCAGGGTGGGGGACTGGATGAGAAAGAAGACATTTGCATGGTCTTAAAATGTCTCCCTACATTTTATTAGCTGCAAGGGGAAAATACTATGTAGGGGAGAAAACGCATGACACTTTGATCAGTCGATCAAGATTAACCACATCAGCGAGGGGCAGACCAACAATATATGCCACTAAACATGTTTCCTGAAACAGACTCAGAACCATTTTTGTGTGTATGGAGGGAGGAAGTCTCACATGAATCTAATTAGGAGGAACATCAGAGAAGCCTAAATTGAAGCACATTCTATAAAAAAAGAACTGGATTCTTTAAAAATGCCAATATCATGAAAACAAAGTAAGGCTAAGGAACTGTTCCAGATTAAAGAAGGCTAAAGAAACACGACAATTAAATGCAATATATGTGATTGGACTGAATTCTGTACAGAAGGAGGAAAAGGCTGTAAATGGCCATTAATGAGTCAATTGTCAAAAGTTGAATATGGACTCTAAACTATTTTATCAATATTACATTTCCTGAATGTGATGACCATAGTGTGGTTATATGAGAGAATTTCTTGTTCTTAGGCAAGACACACTGAATAGTTAAGGGGTAATGAGGCATACTTTCAAATAGGTCAGAACAAAACATGTTTATATAAATGCTTATACATATATATTAATATATATAGAGAGAAAAATAACAAATGTATACATTTTTTAAATGATATTTTAGGTGAAATAAATAAAAAAACCAATAATAACAAATGTGGCAAAATAGTAAACACTTGTGAAGGGTGAAGCTATGTAGTAGGCAATTGAAATTTTTCTATATTACCCTTACAGCTTTCCTGTAAGTTTGTAATTACTTCAAAATAAAAAGTTTAAAAAAATTGACTGGTGCTGACCTTCACCCTGATTTTGAATGATAAATGGAATTTCTTAAGAAATTTTTGTGCCAATAAAAGTAATTTATTGGGAAATGCTTTTTACTCAAATGTATTCATTCTCTTGGCAGTGGAATAAAAGGATGATGTGTGGAACAACCAACTTAGAAACAGCCCTTTTAAAGCTAAAGGGAAAAATTCCTACTCAGTAGAAGGGTGGAAACCACAGCACTGTGCTATTTTACACACACACACACACACACACACACACACACACACAATCTATTTTTTTCCTTTTTTTTCTTTTGAGACAGAGTCTCACTCTGCCCGGGCTAGAGTGCCATGGCGTCAGCCTAGCTCACAACAACCTCAAACTCCTGGATTCAAGCAATCCTCCTGCCTCAGCCTCCCGAGTACCTGGGACTACAGGCATGCGCCACCATACCCAGCTAATTTTTTTCTGTATATTTTTAGTTGGCCAATTAGTTTCTTTCTATTTTTAGTAGAGAGGGGGTCTCGCTCTTGCTCAGGCTGGTCTCGAACTGCTGAGCTCAAATGATCTGCCCGCCTCGGCCTCCCAGAGTGCTAGGATTACAGGTGTGAGCCACTGCGCCCAGGCTCACATGATCTATTTTTATTTTTATTTGTATGTTATTTATTTTTTTTATTTCAGCATATTACAGGAGTACAAATGTTTAGGTTACATATGTTGCCCTTGCTCCACCCAAATGATCTATTTTTATGTCATTTTGTTAAGTTTTTTTTCTCTCAGTGAAAGTCTCCATGTCACTACTTAACTCTTATTAATACTTTCCCTGTAGAACAGCAAGCAGAGCAGTGAACCGGGAGCCAAGAAGACCTAGGTTAAGTCCCAACTCTGTCACCTACCAGTTACATAGGTGTAAGACTCTAATTTCAGCTTCTTAATCTATATAATGGGGATAATGAAAGATTTGGGAGCACGAGGTGTCTATCCCTGCCATGTAAAGCTTTCTTCAAGTTCACCAGCCATTGACTTGGTCATGAGGGGTTATGTGAGGTGGGTCATTAAGTGTTGGATGTAGTCATTCACTTGTCTTTCTCTTTTATCTGACCATCCTTTAGGGTGGAGCTTGTCTACAGAAGACATGTATTCTTAAACAGAATTTGACAAGCTGCTTTCAAAAGTAGTAAATGCTAGACAATCAGTTGCATTGAATTCACCAGCTCATGTATATTAGGGGCCATTTTGTTTCATGCATCTGAAATCTTCCAAGTAATTGTTGTGTTGGTCCAGATAATAAAGACTGGAAATACATCTCATCCCGCCCCCTCCCCCAATCCCCCCGACCTTTCTTGTGTGCCTTTGATTCCTATCTCTTTCATTTATTGACAAATACATTTTCCCCCTCCTGTTATCTCTGCTGAGCCAGTCTTCCTATGAGAGTGGGAACTGAATTGTATTCTGCCTTTAGCAGCAACAATTTTGTCAGTTAGACCAGAATTGCTGAGCCTTTTTCCCAAGGATGTAGTGGGACTTATAAACTTGTGGCACAACTGACTTGTATAAATGCATCTGATACCTAAACATAAAAACGAATCATTTCACCTATTGAGTCTTGCTCACATGAAAATCCTGATTTTCTCCAATTCTTCATCTTCTCTTCACATTTTATGACATTTATGAAACAAGCAGGATTAACTACCAAAGAGAAAATAAAATGCAGTTGTTAAACATAGGACATATTACACTTACAATCTGTGCCTTTTTAATAATTTTCATCTTTAGTTTTTGTAGATAATTTTCTCTACCAAAATCTTTGTCCACAGTAGTTTTCTTTAGCTGTACTTAAACAGTTTTAAGAAAGGAAGAAACATGACTTGAAATATTAAGTAACAAGCTAGGGAAATAAATGAGTGCTGTGGTTCTAATTCCTGATATTAGTGCTCATGCCCTTGTGACTCAGTATAGTCATCTGTAAAATGGGACTAAGGCTACAGATGATATATAAGTAAAAATCCCTAGAAGTGTGCAATGTGATATAAGTTCAAAAATAACAAACATTCCTTCTAAGATTCTTGACTAGAAGGAAAAATGCTAAATTTCAAAAGCTCAAGGTCCATCCTGAACTGATTAGTAGATATCAAGGTGATATGACTCAAATGCATCCAAAATGGTCAAGCAGGGGGTAAATATAGGATCTCTTAACTCCTGGTGTGAAAATTAGAAGGTGTATTAGTTTTCTACTTCTGCTGTAACAAATCACCACAAATTTCGTGGCTTAAATAATACAAATGTATTATCTAATGGTTCTATAGGTCAGAAGTCTGACGTTGGTTTCACTGAGCTGAAGACAAGGTGTCAACAGGGCTGTGTTTCTTTCTAGAGATTATCCTGGCTTATCCAGGTGGGCCTAATGTAGTCAAAAGATCCCTATAACGGAAGCAGAGGTCAGAGAAAGAAATGTGATAACAGAAAGAGAGGTTGAAGCAACATATTTCAGAGGTGGAGGAAAGTGGTCACGTGCCAAAGAATGCAAGTGGTTTTCTAGAAGCTTAAAAAGGTGAGGAAACAGATCCTCCCCTGGAGCCTCCAGAAGGGACACAACTATACTGACACCTGGATTTTAGCATGTATGACCCATTTTGGACTTCTGACGTCCAGGGTGGTAAGATAATACATTTGTGTTGTTTTAAGCCATTGAGTTTGAAGTGGATTTGTTAAAGCAGAATAGGAAATGAATAGAGGGAGAATTCATTTCCTTGTCTTTTCTATCTTCTAAAAGCCACCTGCATTCTTTTGTCCCTGGTCCCTTCCTCTGTCTTTAAAGGCAGCAACATCGAATCTCTCTCTGACCCTTTTTCCATTTCACATCTCTTTCTGACTTCAGTAGGGAATGGTTCTCTGAATATTAAGAACTCATGTAATTAGATTAGGCCCACACAGATAACCCAGAATAACCTCCCCGTATCAAGATCCTTGATTGTTTTCACATCTTAAAAATCCCTTTTGACATGTAAGGTAATTTATTCACAGGTTTCAGAGATTGGGACGTGGACATCTTTGGGGGGGGTGCGCTACCACAGAAGGCTTGAGTTCTGTACCTAGTTCATCAACTCTCTAGAGATGTTACTTTGGAAAAACGTGTTCAACTCTCCAGACCATAGATCTCTTTAACTGTATAATGATTATAATACTTTGCTACTTGGCCGGGCGCGGTGGCTCACGCCTGTAATCCTAGCACTTTGGGAGGCTGAGGCGGGCGGATTGCTCAAGGTCAGGAGTTCGAAACCAGCCTGAGCGAGACCCCGTCTCTACCAAAAATAGAAAGAAATTAACTGACCAACTAAAAATATATATACAAAAAATTAGCCCGGCATGGTGGCACATGCCTGTAGTCCCAGCTACTCGGGAGGCTGAGACAGTAGGATCGCTGAGCCCAGAAGATTGAGGTTGCTGTGAGCCAGGCTGACGCCACGGCACTCACTCTAGCCTGGGCAACAAAGTGAGACTCTGTCTCAAAAAAAAAAAAAACACAATACTTTGCTACTGTTGGGGCTCAGGACACGACACTGAGTGTCACAATGTGACTGTAGGAGACCAGAACATGCCATCCCAAAATATACATCTTTTTTCTCTTTTTCTTTTTTAAAAATATTTTTACTATTTTCCTTTCTTTTTTTTTTTTTTATGCCTATAGAAGCAAATAGCCAACATGAATCTATTTTTTTTTTTTGAGACAGAGTCTTGCTTTGTTGCCCAGGATAGAGTGAGTGTCGTGGCATCAGCCTAGCGCACAGCAACCTCAAACTCCTGGGTTCAAGCGATCCTCCTGCCTCAGCCTCCCAAGTAGCTGAGACTATAGGCATGCACCACCATGCCCGGCTAATTTTTTTCTATATATATTAGTTAGCCAATTAATTTCTTTCTATTTATAGTAGGAACGGGGTCTCGCTCTTGCTCAGGATGGTTTCGAACTCCTGACCTTGAGTGATCCGCCCGCCTTGGCCTCCCAGAGTGCTAGGATTATAGGGGTGAGCCACCGCGCCCAGCCGGCATATTGATTATTTCTAGCTGGTTATTTTAAGAAACTGCAGACACAAGACTAGCTCTGAAAAACTCCCCTTTTGTATAGGAAACTTACATCTATAAAGGAAATTTTCATTAGTAAAGGTATCTGTACCACAAAGAGAGCTGTTCAGAGACAACTTTTACAACCTGATTCTTATCTGCATAACAAAGGCAACCTTTATTCACCATACATTTCCTCCCTTCATCCTTGCATAATTTTTCTCCACCACTGCCCAGAAACCCGAAGCCCCTATTCATTTCTGTACCGCACAATCTTATATAAGCATCAATCATCTGGTCCTTCTTTGAGTCTCATATTTTGTGAGACTCCTGTGCATACATATGTAATTAAAATTGCTTTCCTTTTCCTCTGTTAATCTTTTTTAGGTCAATTTAGTTTGTAGACCAAACAAAGAACCTAGGAAGGCAGGGGGAAGCAATTTTTCCCTCCTCTACACTATGTTCTCAGTATTAAATGAGTGAATGTATGTAAAAGCACTTTGTAAACTGCAAAGGCTACATAAACATAAGGGATTTTTATTTTCATAGGAGTAGATGAGTAACAGTAAGTTAAATAATAGATAATGCAGGAGGTATGAGTATCCTACCTGTCCTCCAAGGCTTATCAGGCTATTTATGGACATCCTTAGGGGTGTCTCATGTAAATTTACAAAGAGTCTTCTCATATTCTCTTTTCTAGACACCCTTATTGTTCTCATTAATAAGAGCTGCCATCTAGCGACTTGAGGTTGACATCTTATTGTGACTTAGATGCTTCTCAGCATGGTGCCCTCCTTGTTTGTGCCATGTTCCCCTGATGCTTTCAAAACTGTACATCTTAGTGATGCCAAAGACATACTGTAATTCCTTCAATCCTCATTGAGCTGAGACCATGCCGTGTCCACACAGGATGTCTTTTTCCTCCATTTTGTGTCATGTTTGGTTGCTTGACCACAATGGCTGGACCATTAAAGAGCAGAGACAATGATGATTTAGACTTCATTCTAGATTACTTTCACGTTGGGGCCAGGCGTGGTGGTTCACACCTGTAATCCTAGCACTCTGGGAGGCCAAGGCGGGCATGTTCAGCTATCTGGAAGCTGCCAAATCCTCTCTTGGGTTTTCATGAAGGCTTCATTATATAGGCATGATTGGTTATATCATTGGCAACTGATGATAAACTCAACTTTCATCCTTCTCCCTTCCCTGAAGCTTCCTCCCCTGGGTGGGGCTGAAAGTCCTGACCCTCTAATCTCATAATTGGTTCCCCTGGCAACCAGCCCCCATTCTGATGCTATCCAGGAGCCCACAAAGAGTTGCATCATTAGACCAAAACTTGCTCCTATTGGCCAGGTGCGGTGGCTCACACCTGTAATCCTAGCACTCTGGGAGGCCAAGGTAGGAGGATCGCTCAAGGTCAGGAATTCGAGACCAGCCTGAGCAAGAGCGAGACCTCATCTCTACTAAAAATAGAAAGAAATTAATTGGCCAACTAAAAATATATAGAAAAAATCAGCCGGGCATGGTGGCACATGCCTGTAATCCTAGCTACTCGAGAGGCTGAGGCAGGAGGATTGCTTGAGCCCAGGAGTTTGAGGTTGCTGTGAGCTGGTCTGATGCCATGGCACTCTAGCCCGGGCAACAGAGTGAGACTCTGTCTCAAAAAAATAAAGATTACTTTCACTTTGTATTGTTGCCAAACCAGCAAACAAGACTGGAAAGGATATATACATGATATGATTATAAATGATGCTCCCAATTGCCACCCCAGTTTCTTGTGGAAGTTCCAGAAAAATCAGTGAAGAATTCATTCTATGCAAGTTGAATGAATTCAACTTGCTGAATCCCCTATGAGGGGATCAGCAAGTTTAGAGGAGTCAGATGCCATGAACTTGCTACCCATTATATAATTTTAGCCTGGGGGCGGGCCAACATGGATAGACTCAAGAGTCTACCCATTACTATTAATGAAATTCTCACTGTACCGCAGATACATACTTCTATGTTCCATTGCTTGCTGAATCATTAAGACTATGTGGCACCTGATCATGGCATACTACACCATGTGTCTCATAAATTCTTTGTAAATACAGGTCTGTTTCTGCCTACAATGCCTCTATTTAAAAAGTTTAGACAGACTTTGGAAATAGATCAGGGGACAGATATGGAGTTATCCTTCTCATCCTTTCTCCTCTATCTCATCTTTGCCAACCAGGTGTCCACTTTACAAGACTCTTCCTGACATTTCTTTCCCTCCTTCTCTTTATCTTCCTCCCCCACCCCCTTTTCCTTCTCTGAGGCCTCTTCTCCCAATCTGTGTAAATAGATCTTGCAGATTGTTCTTATCAGCTAACCAGATACACTCAGATATGTCTCAGTGACAGGCTCAATTGGGACCACTACTAAAATTGTATTTGTTGTAATATACCATCAATGACAGGCATAGTTATCAACATATGATAGGTACAGTTCATGATTAAAGTAAAAGACAAATTTCTTAAAGCCTAGAAGCTTTAGGCAACACAAAGAAACTAGATATAGGTTATTTATATACACATAAAGACAAAATCATTATAGAACCACATCAGTTGTAACTTTGGGCAGAACTAATTAACTGAGCTCCTGTTCCACGGCAGCAGAGACATGGAAAAATCTGTTCCTGTCACTAAGTAGAACAATAGCTGATCAGTTTGACTGAAAGTTGAGGTCAGAATGGTTTAGAAAGGATGCTGTAGCCACACATGGAAAAAAGCGCTATAAAAGAAACATCCACACACACGATCTCAATTTTATGCCCTATGAGAAGAATTTGGGATACATGCACATATATTAATGGCTTCCCCACCCATTATGAGATCGGATGTGTACTTACAATTTGCACCCCCTTCTGATCTGGTAGATCAGAATGATGGAGTCAGACCAGGAATTGTAACTAAATGAGTACATAAGGAACACAAAGAGGGCTGGGTGCGGTGGCTCACGCCTGTAATCCTAGCACTCTGGGAGGCTGAGGTGGGAGGATTGCTCAGGTCAGGAGTTCGAAACCAGCCTGACAAGAGCGAGACCCCCCTCTCTACTAAAAATAGAAATTAATTGGCCAACTAAAAATATATATAGAAAAAATTAGCCGGGCATGGTGGCACATGCCTGTAGTCCAGCTACTCGGGAGGCTGAGGCAGGAGGATGCTTGAGCCCAGGAGTTGAGGTTGCGTGAGCTAGGCTGACTCCACGGCACTCACTCTAGCCTGGGCAGCAAAGTGAGACTCTGTCTCAAAAAAAAAAAAAAAAAAGGAAACAAACAAACAGGCAAACATCATCTCAGAGCTCCTCTCTCTGAACCACCCATATGGCTGGCCTGGCCATTTAGTTCTCATACTTCCTGTTGAGATGCTATCTAAACTGCTCTTGCCTTAGGGGCCCAGGGTCTGTAGGAGCCATTGAATTTGCTCTGGCACTAGAGTGAGCTAATTTTTCCCTACATGCCAGGGGGTAGAAGGGGATTGCTTGGCCTTGTAATCCAGCACTGGGGGAGAGGGACTTCGTATCTGAGTTACAACTAGAGATGTGCTATGGCTGAAGCTTAGTTCTTGTCCAAGTTTGTACTTTAATGCTGAGGTCCTTTCACTTGGGAAGAAGATAAAAATCCCCACCATTTTGTTTCATACAATGTCATGCCCCAGAAAGTGCCTGCCTCCACTGATTCCATTCAGCCATGTTGAAGGCTTTGTGTGTGCTGCAGTGATTAATGAACATTGTAGTTTGCTTATAGCAAAACAATTTTAAAATTGGGAGCAGGGCATAGCTTGGCAACTTTTCTGCTGCTAGAAACAACATACAGAAGAGTTTGTCTTAACTTGATAGATGCACCAGGTGTCAGTTTAATACTGCAGTGACAGAAATACCTGGCCACATCAGTCCAACAACTGGTCTGTGGCTATTCAACTCCACCATATCATCATGTGTATAAAACCTTGGTTCTTTCCAACAAGCTGTGTTATTAATTGAATAACAATATTTCTCCCTAAAATATATATTCTATCTAATTTTTTCTAATATATAATTTTTCTAATATACTCTGTATATTATTATTATTATTTTTTTTTTTTGAGACAGAGTCTCACTCTGTTGCCTGGGCTAGAGTGCCGTGGTGTCAATCTAGCTCACAGCAACCTCAAAGTCCTAGGATCAAGCAATCCTCCTGACTCAGCCTCCGGAGCAGCTGGGACTATAGGCATGTGTGACCATGCCCAGCTAATTTTTGCTATATATTTTCAGTTGGCCAATTAATTTCTTTCTATCTTTAGTAGAGACGAGGTCTCACTCTTGCCCAGGCTGGTTTCGAACTCCTGACCTTGAGCGATCCTCCGGCCTCGGCCTCCCAGAGTGCTAGGATTACAGGTGTGAGCCACCATGCCCAGCCTACTCTGTATACTCTTGATAGTCTATGTTTTATAAAATCTTCACAAAAATATGTTAAGTTTTTCCTTAGACTCCTAGATGACAGAAATAGAAAAAGTCACTTATTCTCCTATTCTACTATTTCCTACACTGTCATTTCTACTATTGTCTACAATGTAATATAAGCTGGAAAGGACTGGAATATAATTTTGAAGTCACAGGTGACTTTCCGACCCTTTGAAAACACATTAAAGCATTCAATAACTGAAATGATCACTCGAGTCAGAAATGTAACCTATAACACATCCATACGTGTCCTAAATGTCACCATCCCCTACAGGATCAGTAGGTTGCAATCTCTTAGTAACAACTGAAAATATATATGACAAATAAACTAGTGTATTCCTCATTCAGAACTCCCATATTGTTAAGTGATGGGAGGCTGTGGTCAGAGAGCAACAGACAATGAAACATTATTTATTAGCTGTTTTATATTTTTAAAAAATGACAGAAAAGAAATATCTAAGAAAACTGTTGAAGGCAAGGTAACAATACCTGAATGAAGTCAGAACTATTTTTCCCTTGACAGAGTTGCTTCAGAAGCCAGTTGGAAAGATGAACACTTTTTCCAGAATATGACCAGCACTCAGTTTAGTCATCGAGCCTTCTGATGTTGTACAATAACATAATTGAATATGTACTATTAGACAAGATATAAGGGAGCCTGGAAGTTACATCAAGGGTTTATTCAAGATAGACTGGTTTGAGAAAAGACAACTCATGTAAAAACAAAGCAGGAAATGCTTTAGGAGTAGGAACATCCATTTGAATGTCACAGAGACCAAAAGTGTTATTCTTGGGGATAAAGATACTATTGATGTTAAAACTTACTGTTTCGACTTTTCTCGGGACTCAGAAAGTGAAATGTTGGTATGTAAACGATCAAAGAAAAAAAAAATACACGCATTTGACTGACTCTCCACAACCTCTCCTTTAGTTCTTCACTGAATGTAGATTTATGAGGATAGAGAGATTAGACTGAACAAAGCTACAGTGAATGGATTTGTGGGGAAGCCCTGTACTGTATGAGTAAGGTGGAGTTGAGGGGTAGTTGGCTATATATTTCCTAATGGAAACTACAAGTTGGCCACATGGAATTCTCCAGAAGTTGCCTTCATTTTCTGATGAAGAATTCTTCTCTGTTTTAAATTTATTGGATATTTGTGAGTGACTGGCAGCCTTAGAAATTGAACAGACTACTTCCTGAAGGTTTTACAAAGAATGATAGTTCCATCATACTCCAAAAACAAAGACATTTTAGTCATTCAGTAAGGACCATACAATGCTCATAAAATTGCAAAGGGAAAACAACAATCCTGCCAAGAACAAACAGAAAGGTAAAATGCCAAGTGTCTCTACAATTGTTTTTTTTTCCAAGTGCTAGAAGTGTTGGCAGATATGTGTATGCAGGGCCCTGATAATAAGCAAATGAACATGTTTAACCTCTGGCCAGATGAGCTGGATGGAAGAGTCACATCAGATTGTATAATGTCCTGGGGAAGCCACACAAGGTGTCAGTAAAAACTAGGCTGGTACCCATCAAGTCTTAGATTCACCAGCTTCTAGGACAGCCGTTGCCATCTAATTAAATGGCTTTCTGAAAGGAAAAAGAACATGATAATTCTGTTTCGATAAGCTATTGCTTTTGGAAAATATATTTCATGGAATGCAAAATTATCAAGTTAGGAAAATATATTTCATGGAATGCAAAATTATCAAGTTAGGAGAGCTAATCTAGATCAAGTTACTCAATTTGCAAAGGGGTAAACTGAGATTCAGGTAGGGGAAATGATTTCCTCTAGGAA